TGCGACAGGGACGATTATATGGAAACCGGGCTTAACATAACTAGACAGGGACTAAAAATAATTTCGTGCAAAACATAGAGTATGATTCGGCCCCTATACTCTAATGAGAAATTAGATGCCAGGCACACCACAGGCGTCCCAAGCGTACTGTGTGTGATTTTGGGGTCTAAAGTTCACTAACGGCAATAACTAACATACTAAGATCGAATTTTAAGCGTATGTGTGGGCCGTTAAGAAGGAAAAATTGTAAAAAAAATTAAGAAAAAATTTTAAATGATAACAAAAGCGAGGAATAAAACGTGTGAAGTCTCCTTACCATTTTCTCGTAGCCGCTATGTTGCCAACGGTCGTTTTAACGCTGTTTTGGCGACCTTCTCTGTAACACGTCAACTGTATAATAGGAAAAATCATATGAAAATATTGAGAAAAAATTAAAAAGGATAATAAAAGCGAGGAATGTATCGTAGGAAGTCTCTTTACCTTTTTCCATAGCCGCTTTGTCGTTTACAGTCCTTTTAACGGTGTTTTGGCGACTTTATTTGTAACGCGTGTGGTGCTACCGGTCAACTGTGTTTAAAAAAACTCAAGGATGGAAACTTCAACCGGTCCCGCACACCAACCGTCGTTACTCGAAGGCCGATAAATTCCACAAAAGTCGACCTCTCTCACTCAAAATTCCACCTGCCTAGCGGTTTCAGCGGCAAAATTTTCCAAATTCTGCTGCATCGATCTGAGAGCCTCTCCGTTTTACCACCCATTCCGGCTAAATGATAATCGCTTTGTAGGTACGCGTAATCCCTTTGGCCTTACTACGGGATTCAAATATCAAAGCGTACGGCGGGTCGAATTACACGCACAACTCCCCACACGATGATGTTCGAGAAGGGCAAACGTAACAACCTTCCTAACGATCCCCTGGGAGAGTCTTTTATTTGGTCAGATGCGCTTTGATATTTCAATCCCGTTGTAAGGGCAAAAGGATTACGTGTACCTACAAAGCGATTTAGCAAGAATGGGTGGTAAAACGGAGCGGCTCTCAGATCGATGCAGCGGAATTTGGAAACTTTAGCCGCTGGAAAGGTTAGGTAATAGCTAAGCACTCTCCAGGTGGAAATTTGAGGGAGATCTGTTGACTTTTGTGGAATTTATCGGCCTTCGAGTGGCGACGGTTGGTGTGTGGGACCGGTTGAAGTTTCCAGCCTTGAGTTTTTTATACACAGTTGACCGGTTGCACCACACGTTACAAAGAAAGTCGCCAGAACCGCGTTGAAACGACCGTTGGCAGCAAAGCGGCTACGGAAAAAAGATAAGGAGACTTCACACGTTTTATTCCTCGATTTTGTTATCCTTTTAAATTTTTTCTTAATTATTTCATAATTTTCCCTTTTTTTTAACGGCCCACACCTACGTTTAAAATTCGATCTTAATCTGTTAGTTAGTTATTGCCGTTAATGAACTTTAGACCCCCAAATCACACGCAATACGGCTTGGGCCACCTGTGGGCACACTTACCTGTTAAAGGGAAAACTCACAAGAGGCCAGAAGTACTACTTATTGGTAATGTGCTCAGCTTTGTACCTTACGTGATATACCGGAATAAACTTATAGGTGTTTTCTTGAAATGAAACGCGCCCAGCGTTTATTTGAAACTTAGCCCGGTAGACCAGGCTTCAACACGAGGGCGGTGTTTTATTGGGGCCCCCCTTTATTTTTTAAGTAAAGTGTCATTTTTGTTTGTATTTCTTCTTACACTAATGGTTAATTATTCAAAACGATACAACTTGGGTCTTCAAAACTAACAAATTCAAGCTGTGACATCTCGAAGCGGTGATGATATATTCATGGGAAAGAATTACTAATTTTGCCGAAGCAAAAAAAATTCGAGAAAATGCGATGAATAAAATGACCTAAAAAACCGGCCTTTCCTAAATTTCAAATTCAAATATCAAATGCACATCACTTAACATGACTTTATGACTTTACACCTACGTAAGTGCCTAGTAACCATTAAAATACTCCCTAAGTAAAAGCAAAATACTTATGCAAAGCGGGGACGTTGCACTTCCGTCATTTTGAATGTGACTGGAGGAGTGGCGAGGAATGTTACGTAAACTGTAGGTTTTTCATTCACATATCGTGGAAACTTTGCGTAATTTAAGCGAAGAAATTAATGATTATTCATGGAGGATCTTACTGCCACTACTTCGCTTAGTTACGGAATAAAATTGCAGATCTCCAATCTGGAAGTGATTAAGTGTTTTTTGAGTTTCTGTCGGAATCGTATTCATGGTTTTACATTTTGAAAGTCGGGTAAAATTTGGTTTTAAAGTGCTCAGCCGGAAAAAGGTCCTTATCCTGCTTTATTCACGAATTTTAGAAAGAATCGCCCTATATACATAAGGATCATATAGCTATGTACCCAACACAGTATTTTACGTGTCATGAGTTAAAAAGGAAAAATTTCAGCTCTCGCTTCATCTTGCCTTTTTGTAAAATTAACGGGTTACGAACAAGTTTGGGCTTGATTATGCAATAAAACTCTTCGCCACCCTCGTTTAAGATCACGTGGACCACACGAGATCCAGTTAAGGTGGTGTAAGTACGTAGTACTCTAGCATTAACATAAACAAGATCTAAAATATTTACCTCGGCCTTTAAATGTACAAGTTGGACTAAATTCGCCAATAATGCCTGAGGTAACGAAGGATAAACTTTGTACATTAGAGCGTAAAAAAAAGCCAGCCGAGATAGCATCGATAATGATAACAATTTAGTGCTCCAAGTCGCTTTGCAGTTTTAAAAAAGATCTGCAAAAAACACGATTAAAAAGGTTCCGCGGCGGAAATTATACACCACGCCCGACCTGTTTAAGCGAACAGCTACCATATTTAGGAAGCATTCCCTTTGCAATAGCGTGTGTTCAACTTTATTAGTATTTTGGTGCAAATCTGTAAAAAAAAATTTTTTTCTTCCCTCTATCAATCTCACCGTTAAGAAGACCATGGCGTATGGTCTTAGGTACTTAAGAACCTGTTACCGCCAGTTGAATTGGTCTGTAGTAAAAAGATAACACGATGCTTTGTTGGAAGCAAATGAAGATTGAAAAAACTGAGAAAAATATGATCGTGCTGTCTTGAAATGGTAATGAGGAGAATACCTGCTGTAACTTTTTTATAAACGCACTTCTATAGATCAGCTCAATATTTTCGCATGACAAGTATTGAACATGGTTTTGGCCTAGAACAGAATTAGTCTATTTAATTTTTGGCTTATAGTGAGTGTTTAAACATTTTCGATATCTCGAAGTTCAAAAGTAATGTTTTATGACACATTTCAAAAAACATTTTCCCTCAGTCACTATAGATTATGCTTGCGATTTGTGGAAATCGTGTTCTTTTGAAGGAAGTAACAGTTCGTTTTGGGGGGTTTTAACTGAAGCTCCAAAACAGCAAGTGTAGTTTTATGATAAAGCTTAAAAGAACCTTTTAGACTAAAATTAGTGTTAGTTTAAGACTTGAAGACGGCTCAATCAAAGATGCGGTCTATCTTCAAGGGAAAATTATTTTTTTAACTTTTCTTCTCATGTCAAACTAGGCATTACTATTCTAACTACAGTTTTCAAGAAAAATTTTATGTAAAGTATTGAAACACGTGCAAGTTATTTACAGTTGCATATTTCCAGCTGACTTCCTTAGCCCGCCAAAGTGTGAATAATCAATAATAGCATGTCACCTTAAATGACTCCCTAAGTGATTTTTACGCCTGGTTCTTAAATTTTAATCGCGTAAACATCTCTTGATTTCAGTTTGTTATCTGTCTGCGTTTAAAAACTATATTATGAATAGAGAAAGATGCGAAAATAAATAAATAACAATGATTAAATAAGGAAACACACAAGTGCACACTCTTTATAATAAATTTTCTTTATTTTTGACTTGAATTAAGAAAAGAAAAAAAAACTTTATTGACCCTGCTTAAATTTTAGGGAAGTAGGCTTGGTCACTGAAGGAATAAACATCACAGGGTGTTATTTCCGTCGCTTCAGGAAGCTTTTATTCTGGAAAATTGCTGTCTGTTGTTTCTCACGAGATATCTCAATATGAGATAAAACTCCATTTTTATCCCTAACAACATTTCATAGCAACCACAGGATCACCTATCAATTTCCTTTGCATGATTATTACTTGATTCCTTAAGTGCGAGGAGGGAGAGGCAGGCATGCTGGTTGTGAGTCGATACTGTTTACTTATGCCAAAGTGGGCAGAAAGTTCCAAAAAAGCTGTTTACAGTACTTGACGGGAATTTTTTCATTGAGAATATCGTGAGCTTTAAGCAACATACAGACTAAAAGAGGGGGGCGTTGGGGCCTCTGGGAAAGCGCAAAATCGGAGAAAAAAACCTCCAAAACCGCAAAACCGACGAAAAAAAGGCAGCAAAACCGAAAACCGCATGCAAACCTGACAAAACCGCTACATTTTTACCTTTAAAGGGGTCTAAAAGGAAAAACCGAAAACCGCATCACAGTTTTCGTGAAAACTGAAAACCGAATGTAATAACACGTAAAGTCCACAAACCGCTCTGAACATCAAAACCGAAAAACCGAACCTTTTTGGCCCAAAAACCGAAAAACCGAACCTTTTTGGTCCAAAAACCGAAAAACCGATCAAAACCGATCAAACCCGATCAAACCGATCAAAACCGATCGAAACCGCAAAACTGAAAATCCCAAAGCCCCCCTCCTAAAAACCTTCTTTTGAATGGGATTCTACTTTTACTTTGAATAAAGAGTTACCTTGGAGCAATTTACTATAGCATATGTTTTCTTTTGGAGTCTTATTGGGTAGCTGAAAGGCCATCTTGCTCTATGTACGATCTTGAGATATCCTCACTCTAACTAGACCAATCACGAAGCTGTAGGCGAGAAAAAATCCAGTGACACTAGAGATTGGAATCTAAACATTAAAAGAAGATGTGTTGACTTTCACAGCGGCATTGATCCTCAATAACTTGCCACACAGACTAGCTGGTACTTGATAGCTGCTGGCAACGATCTCAGTATATTTGAATTCCACTTGTTGTAAGTAAATCCTAAGCAAATGTACTCAGTAATAATAGTAATGATGATTTTATTTATTTGTTTATTTATTCAATTCTGATGACGAGATATGACGTAAAATTCGGCCTCTTGATTTTCAGTATTTACACCCTGAAAATCGGATTGAAGCTTCTTGAGGAAAGGAAGTAAATTTAGGTACACTAAGATGGGAAGAAATGCGTTTATATTGCGTTCATTTAGTCACCTAGTGCCCTCCAGGATTAATATGCTGAAGTACCGTAATGTACACATCTTAGGGAATGGTCATTTTCAACAGCCAACCCAAATTAAAAGGGTTTTATTTTAGATTTTGGAGTGACCTTGCAAAGCTGTAAGGGTTGAACAAAACCAGGTGCTACCTACCTCGATTTCTCTTCGTGGCTGAACTGCTGAATCTCCTGCAGTGGTTAATGATCGACAACATACCTCCGAGTCGCTTTCGTGTTGTTTTTCTTATTTTTAAGACCTATCTTGGCTAAAGTTTAATTGAACTTTTCGTCCAAATGCTAATAAAGAAAAAACGACATGATATGCTAAAAAAAGGCGACGATCCGATTATCCATTTCGCTTTCTTATACCTTTTCAGGCAATGGCATTAACGGCTGACGAAGTGCTCGCAAAAATTGGCAGCTTCGGCCGTTATCAATTTCGTCTGCTAATCTTCGCCAACGTGCTGGGTTTCTTTTGGCTTGCATGGCCGATGCTCATAACAACGTTCATAACCGCTGAGCCCGGTTGGCGTTGCGTTACAAACAGCACCGAGTGTCAGACGGATGGAATTGTTTACCCGGGGGACGGAAACTACAATCTGAGGTGCAACATGTCGAGAGAAGCCTGGGAATTTGTTGACGAATATACATCAGTTGTCACACAGGTAGAGGCAGTAGGGAGTCAGTAAGAGCAAGCAGCTTTCTTTATTTTCAGAGCTATTTTCAGTTAAGTGTCGAAAGAAATCGGGGACTGCATTGATTTTGTTTTACTTACGTCCTTCATTGATCCAGAAAACTCGCCATTCTTTCAATCAATCAGATGCACAACTAAAATCAGTCAATCACGACTTGGTCGCCCCGCGTTTTACCACGCTTTAGGCATTTTGGTCGCTTAAAATTGTATTTTGCTTTCAATTAAGGCGCATTTTCCTTTCGGATGATTGGCTGTAGAGATTACGTTGGTCATGGCTTTACGAAACCCATTAAAAAAGCGCTGTATTTGCTTTTGTGATTAATTCAGCTTTGGTTTTTTGAATTCCAGTTGCTTGAATGTAACTGGGACTAAACGGTATACTAATTAGTCGTGTCTAGCCAGGTACAAAGTTATTCAGTCCATTTTTTTGTTTTCTTCCTTCACAGTTTGATCTGGTGTGTGACAAAGCAATCTATGGAACAGTGTCTTCCTCTTTGCTCTTCCTTGGATCTCTGATGGGCGCCGCCACGACCAGCACTTTATCAGACAAATTCGGCCGGAGAACCATCATGTTTACAGTTGGATTTCTAATTTCATTATTCAGTTTGCTGTCAGCTTTCCCAAACTCCTATTGGCTTTTCACTCTTTTTCGCTTTATTGTTGGATTCAATCTAGGTAAGTACACGGTAAAAATATCGCAGAGAGTCTCCAAGCGTTTATACACTCTTGGAGCAGTTTTCAATCGAGTGTCGAAGCCCCAAAACCAAAGTACTTCCAGTTACCAGTCAAAACAGAGGTTTATATTATCATAAGCCAATAATATAAGAATTAGAAGTGAAAACAAGCGAACTGCGAGATCGTTTTTAGTTTTGCGTCTGACTGGTTGAAAGGGTGGGGCTAGTATTCAGGACAAATTACCGAGCAAAGTTAGGTAAAATCAAAGCAGTCCCGTATCACTTTCGACAATAGTTTTTTCTTTGAAGAGTTTTGCTGATTTTCCCTTATCATTTCATCTCTCACCCGACGGTCTGATCCTCTACTCCCAGACTTCGCACGGACAACGTGGCAATATAAAACTCTTAGGGCTGGACTAGAGTTGGCAGCTAGGCTGATGAATTGCTTGACGCCTTTCCCCTTTAACTAATCAAAACAGACCTGTTTGCAGAGCTTTTGCAACGTTGTATGGAAATTTTTAAAATCTTTCTATGCCTTTTCCCTTTCACCAGGTGGAACAAATTGTATCTATATCCTTATCTCCGAGTTTGTGGGCGTTCGCCACAGAGCCATGATGGGAACATCTCTTTGGTATTCTTGGACCATTTCTTTGATGGCTTTGGCGGGAATTGCGTACCTCATACCAGACTGGAGACTGCTGTGCATCATCACAGGGGCACCAGCAATCCCTCTTGTACTTGGCTTCTTGTAAGTGTCAAGTCCCTGATTTGTTATTGGTTGTGTACCTCATGAGTACCTGATGTGACTTGAAGGCTGGCCAACTTAACAAGCGACAAATCATTCAATACGTGTTCAAGTATTTTTAGCTTGATATTTCCTGCTCACAATCGGTATGTGAATTTTACTCTGAGGTGTAGCTCGATGAATATGTAATTGGTTACCTCAAAATGGCGTTTCAACTAAGACTTATACTCCCAATTTTATTTGTGATAGGATTTCTCCAGAATCCCTTCGCTGGCTGATCGTGAAAGGGAAAACTAAGAAGGCTGTGGATCTCTGCATGAGCATTTCCCGAGTCAACCGCAAAAAAGTTTCAATGGAGGAAATCCAGCTTGAAGAAATACGTGAAGAAAGAATGGGAGACGTGCGGGACTTGTTTGGTTCACGCAAGATGGCTGTTAAGACGCTGATCACGTGGTATTGTTGGTGAGAGGAAGAAATATCCAAATCACAAATAATTATCATAATCAATATTTTCCTTTTTCGCCCAAAGCTAGATCGAGAAGAATTTATGTATCCTTTGAAACAATAGGTTCATGAATTTCAGACTTTTCCATGTCATTTACGAGTGGTGGAAGCCTTCTAAGTCTAAGAAGTTTTCACTATACTAAGGTCCACCAGGACTTGTAGACAAATTCCTTCCTCCTCTTTACCAAAATATCACTTCAGAGGAACTTGCATCGTTTGAAGTCAAGATTCCTTTAATGATGTTAGGGTGTACAGAATATTTTACAGGAAGACACTCGTCTTGTTTGACACACGACATCGTACGGAATAGATATATTTACCTTTGAAATGCGAGTTTTGTTAGGTCAGAGTTTTGCCAGCCTAGTGGCCTTTTACCACCAGGATTGGAGAATTTTTTTTCTTTCTGAAAGGGGCTGGATGTTACTCCATCGCAGTTGCTTGCTTCTTCGTAGTTCTTTTTTCAATTTTCCTTAGTTTGTTTAACCCATATCAACCTCATTACCTGGGTCTCTCCTCTCTTGCTCCAGGGGGCGGGAAGATGAGAGACCCTGGGAACAAGTTTGTACTCTAGACATTCCTGGCCAATGTTGACCGGCCCGGCTTTGACCTCAGAGGGAGTTGCTGTGGAAGGACTACTCCGTGTTTTTTTTTTCTCTTAGGTTTGCTAATTCCATGGTGTATTACGGTGTTTACATGATCACACCTTACATTGGCGGCAGTGTGCACTTTAATTTCTTCCTAGCCAGTGTCATCGAACTTCCAGCAATCCCGGCGGGCATTTGGATTTACAACAAGTTAGTAAAAATTCCACCAAATCTATTTGTTTGAATGTCAGAGGAAGAGACAAGAAAATGCTTAAAACTTCGATCACGTTTCCAAAAATAGGAATTGTTTTCCAGGGACTATTCATTTGATTTATTGGGGGTGGGGTAATATAATTTGGCTTCAGAATTCAGGCCGTGAAAAACGTGCGAACGAACGCTGAGACACGATTAATCTCTTCTAGATTTGGACGCAAAAAGGGTGTTATCATTCCCATGATTCTTACAGCTATGGGTGCTGCCCTCTCCGTTCTCTTGACAACAGATGAAGAATCCAACAAGGGTGAGTTTTAACTTTTATTGAAGGCGTTCAAGATTGATTGTAAGCAGATACATGCCCACTAACAGGAAAAACTCTGTGCTCCATCCATTATTAAGTTAAATCTGACATGCTGTTAGTTGACATTATATACTATATATATGTTAGTAAAAATATTAATATTAATATTAATATTAACAAAAATATTAATATTAATAAAAACATTCCAAATATATGTATATGTATAAACATCTCCAACAATTAATGTTGTCATTCCAACAGGACTTTTTGTAGGTAAAATCATTATGTCGCTGATTTGGGCGAAGTTCTGGATAATGATATCTTACGATGGTCTTTTTGTGTATACAGCAGAGCTTTTTCCTACAGCTATAAGGTAAGAGTATGTATAGGTCTAGTCCCCAGTGAAACATGTAGATTTTGTTTTAAGCCATCGATTGATGCTACAAAGACTTAAAGATATTGAAGCGTTTTAAAAATACCTCAGCTCTTACGTCTGTTCTTTCGAATATTTCAATCATCTTGGCCAAGCGAAGTAAAGCTTGTCGGGGCGGGAGTGTCTGCTCGAGTCTATAGAGATCTCTATTGTTGGTTATATTATAATCGACCCTTTTGGTATGAATAAAGGCTGATAATTTCTAAAGAAACTGTTTGGGGCTGCGTCGGTGGGGGTAACGAAATAATTTGGATATATCAACAAAGCTGAAATGGTAAATTGGCCACCGTAACGATTACAAAAGCTGACGTTTCGAGCGTTAGCCCTTCGTCGGAGCGAATAGAGGAATTGTGGGTTGTGTGTGCTTTTAAAGGCAGAAAATGGAGCTACGTTATTGGTGGGAACATGGCAACGAGAAAAATACGAATAAATTTTGGTATGGTTTCCTCACCTCAGAAACATCGCCATGGGAACGTCAGAAGCAGCGGCTGGTATTGGATCATTTAGTTCTCCATATATCATCTACACGGTAAGCCATAGAACACATACGTAAGCCGTCTTCCTATTCTTTTTCTCGAAAAACCTTATAAAAACAATAACGTAATCATCAAATACAAGTAACTGAGCCCGCATAAGCTGCGGCAGCGAATTTTGACGAGCTGACGATCAGATAGACGAAGCAAAGCTCCTTCATCTACTGAATACCACAACAAAAAGAATCAAATATTGATTTTATTCCTGGCTTAAAACCCTCTACGCCTTTTCAAAGTAGGTCTCTTTATCTAATTGACTGTCTTTGATTTTTTGTGGTTAGAGTGGCGCTTTAAAGATCGGGTTTGCTTTTCTCTTTTCAGGAACGAATCCATCCAATCTTACCGTATGGGATCATGGGATTGAACGCTTTGGTGGCAGCATTACTTAGCATGTTTCTGGACGAGACTCGTTACCAGCCCACGCTGGAGACCGTGGAGAGGTCTGAGAAGAATTCTGAGAAAGATGTCGACTCTTCGTAAGCCACCGCATTGTGGCCACATAATCCTGAAGGATGAACTCTATTTATTTTTACGCTACAGTGCAATCTTCAATTGAGTGTCGAAATTAATCCAGGATTGCATTGGTTTTCTTTTACTTCGTTCTGTGATTGGTCCAGAAAACTCACGCCATCTATCAATCAATTCGATGTTAGACTAAAACCAATCACAACGTGATCGCGGCTGTTTTCACGCGCTTTGGTCGGTTTGCTTGTTTTTACCTCGAGTTCTCATTGGCTCTTAAAAGTATTTTCCTCTCCTTTAATTGGCCATTGGCATTACATTGGTTTTGGTTTTACGGCACTCAATCGATAAACCCTGTATCTGACAGAGGTGAATAACGTGTGCGCATGCGTTAAGTTTTGGCGCGGGAAAACGGATTTTGAGTCGTACGCACTGTTTATTTTCTATTCCGTTACCTCGAGGCGTTGTTTTCCTTGCCGCTTTTCTTTTGGAGAACAACTTCCAAATACTTTGTACACCCCCTAAATATTTTCGAAAATTAATTTACTCCTTAGAAACTTTGGAAATAGTGAAATGCCTTCGAAAGCAACAAAATGCCTGGGTTTTAAATGCGAGCTCCTTTCAGCTCCTTATTATTTTAGCAAATTTCGCTAAATTTTAAACCTCATACGCTTGAGCCCGCGTTGTTGACCGTATACCTTTGACATTATTCAGCTCTGTCCCTCTATCTATTGTTCGAATATAAAACTGCGCGATATATACTAACGTAATAGTCGGATGGAAAGAAACCCTAAAATTGCACGTGATACTAACGTAACAATCCAATGGTGAAGAATCCTAAAAGTGCAAGTGATTCGAAGGTAACAACAGAATGTAAGTAAATCTTAAAAAAGGCGAGATACTAACGTAACTTTCAGATGAAAGAGAATACCAAAAGTGTGCGAGATACTAATGTAACAATCCAATGAAAGAGAATCCTAAAAGTGCGCGCGATACTAAAATAACAATCTAAAAGAAGTGAATCTTTTTGGTGCACGCGATACTAACCTAACAATTGAATGTAAGTCAATCCTAAAATGCGCGAGATCACTACCGTAACTTTTGAAAGGAATATCTTAAAAGTGCACGACATACTTACGCACAAATGTAGTGACTGGAGGGAATCCTAAAAATGCTCGAAATATTAACCTTACAACCAGGTGGAGAGAATCCAAAATCAACAAATAGCGCTAGATACCAACCTAACAATTGGATGAAATAGAATCCTGAAAGTGCACGAGATACTAACATAACAATCCAGTGGAAAAGAGTCCTAAAAGCGCGGAGATACTAACGTAACAGTCCAATGGAAAAGGAACCTTAGTAACTCGGTTTAAAATCGTACGTTACACGAACGTAACGATCCAACGAAAACGAATCCTATAGGTATTAATACCAGATACTAATATAACAATCTAATGAAAGAGACAGACATACGGACGGAGAGACACACCGACAAACGGACGGACATGTCGATGAACGAACGAACGGATGGATGGATAAATAAATAGATTGATGGATACATGGAAGAGTAAATGAAAAACAAATGAAAGAGAATAAATAAATAAATAAATGGATAAACAAATAAATGAAGGGATATTTCGTTTTGTGTTGATGCACAATTTAGCGTTGCTTCAGTTACTGAGCTGGAAGTGTACTGAATATTCCAGGCAATTTGATAACATCTACCAGCAAAGTACACAAAATGCAGAAAGTTATAACCTTTAGAGGAGATATAACTTATCTGAGACTATAAGCTGGATATACTTTAGTAGGTGACAAAGATACAGCTTTGTGAATGGAAATGGGCCCCACCGCAGCTTTTTCTATCAACTTATCGCTACCCTTTCCCCCCCCCCCCCCCTTACACGTTAGTTTGCTTAAGTTAATTTCTGCATACAAGAATGCCTCGCTTTGGTGCAGGATCAGGAGCATCATTCGTTTGCTTTGGCATGAAGAAACTATAATTACTTTTATCTCCCTTTGGGTGGGATACTAGCCTAGTGCAGGCTACCACCGGTTTCCAACAGGTTTCCTGGGGTTTCACTGCTAGTCGTATTTAATGAATAGAGGGAGGCTCTGTGCGAGTAGAGAGTTTCCGGCCCTCAAGACTGACGTCTCTAAGGAACAATTTAGTGCTATCAGTTAATTGTAAAATCAAATGACATCCTTTCTATGGGAAATAGTTGAATGAGAAATGTAACGTTCTTCATCGTGATTTTCTTCTGCCTATATATTTTATTTTTATTTGTTTAGTGATCTTTCTAGGTCTGTGAAACGAGAAAATCCTCTACAATTTTTTTAAATATTCTACTTTCTCAGCATGGGGCCGGGATTCTATTTAAGCCGCTGCCGGGGCCATGGAATGTGAAAACAAAAAATGTCTACAGAAAAGACGCCCACCTCAAAACGCTAAAATTGCCATGCTAATCGGACTAGAAACGAGACTTGAACCTTTGAAGACCATCTGACTTCACTCACTTCGCTATTCTTCAACAGTTGTTAGTTGGCTTGATCGATAGCTAGCCTCAGGCTCTCAGTTCTGGTTTTTCCGCCTTTCGAGAAATATGTCTGAAAAAGACTGGGTAGAGTGAAAGATTGGTTTTGTCATCGACCGAGAGGGACTTGGTACTAAAACAAAGAAGATGGCGACCTCCTCGATTCCTTCGTGGAAAAAATGCGAGAAAAACATAGATCTGCTTGTTTTAAAAGTAGTTGTTAATACGGTAAAGATATTAAAAAGTAATTGAATTGGCGATAAGGTTGACCTCAAGTCGTTGTATTCGGGAAACAAGCCGGTGGCCAGCTTATACACAGTCGCCATGGTGAGTTATGAAATGTAAACTGTTCTTGAAATCTATCACCGGTTTTGGATCTGATTTACGATTTCTAATTTTATTCTTTTATCCGCTGGGATTGGGATTTCCGAGGAATTCACTCTGACTTTCACTAGTGTTATTGGTTCAATTACACATTACCGATACCAATATTATGCGAAGTTGTCTCTATTTTCTAATTATAATTTTCTTATTTTACTATGTACAGGTGTTGTTAAGCTAAGAGGCGAAACTTTAGATATTTCACGCGAAAACTTGGGTTCACTGTTACTTCCTTAGTTTGCCTTCTTAAAATAGAATGATTTCATCACGGAATGTTTGAATTAACACCTGACATATAATTATTTGCATGAATCTCAAATCCCAATCAAAAATTTTTTTTAATGTACACACTGTAAGTCAATTTAGTTTACAAATCGAATGACTCTGAACGAGTTAGAAATAGATTTGGAACTTGTTTAATTTTTTTTTTTTTAAGGTAGAAGATGGAAAGTCTACTATGTTCAAATGGCAATTGAAGTAAATGGAATAATCATTAATTTTGTATGTGTTGATTTTCATAGTCTAACAAGAAAGGGGGTGAGTCAGTAAAGGTGGTAGTGAGATGCCGTCCAATGAACCAGAAGGAAATAGCTCAAGGACATCAAAGGTGGGCGAGTGAAAAATTTTTTTCCTGTGCTAAGAATTAATGGATGATGATTTTCATGCAATGCTTAAAATCAAATAACAATAAAGGTTTTTATCATCAGCAGTTCAAACTCAAATCATGAAGTTTATTGTGTTCAAAAATTCACAACACAAAATATTGGAAGTTACATGTGTCCCTATCAAGGACACTCCCAGTATAAAATAATGAATGAGCTATAAAAATAGAATAGTACAAAAGAGTGAGAGTTTATCTAACTCACAAAACTTTTAAAAATTAAATTTCTAATAAATTTATATACTTCTAATAAATTTATATATTTATATGCTGAAGTCCTTTCTTTTGAACTGTTCAATAATTCTGGCAAAGAATGAGTGAGAAAACAGTTTACTATGGCGAATTGTTTTTTTGTTTTTTTTGTTTTTGAGATTGCAAGTTGTTTGACTGACAACAACAACAACAATTTTAACAACAACAACAACAAAAGTTTATTCCGCATTAGGGTGGGGGGTTACAATGATTAAAAATTACTCAAGAAAAATAAAGGAAAAGAAAAACCTTACATAATTGACACTGCCTACAAGTAGCACAGGCTAGTCAAGGCAGGTAGTGACAACAATTTGTTAAGAGTCTAAAGCAAATTATAAATGAAAAGATCAAAGACAGCGGAGCTTAATTTCAGATGTCCATCTTGGTTGCTCACTGCTGACCACTTCAATGAGATTTTTTCAAAAATAAGTTAGCCTAAGCAGAAAAATTATTAAAGATTCATTTTGATGGTCCTATTAATATTTAATTATAGATCATCCAGTTTTTCTAATATGTTATATTTTTAAGGATAATTGAGATGAATGTGAAGAAAGGAACAATTGAGATCAACAATCCAGCTAAAAAGGAAGAAGTGCCACGAATGTTCACCTATGATTCCGTTTATGACTGGAAGTGAGTTTGAATCATTTTTATTTTGGTATTTTTTTACTTGAGGCCTATATCATCTACTGTCTCAGTAAGAACTAATATCTTAAATAGAATTACACACACACATATGTTAATTGACCACTCCCCATGGGAGCTTTTTAGGGCCAATTCCCACCCAGCAACCACCCCAGGGGAGGACATCCATCACACAGTAATCTTGTGCATGGGAAATTAACGTCTCCTAACCCTGCAGGAGACGGGACCTCCATTTATTCGTCCCTATCCAAGAAGACTAGAGTATTTAACCATTTCTTGATGTTATAGAAGGTAGCATATTCTTCTCACTT